GACAGATAGAAGGACAATATAACTGGATTAGAAAGGTAAATAAGAAAAACAGAGCATATTGCACAATATGCAGAGAATTTGGGATTGGGTATCGTGGAGAAGAGGATGTGAAAGCACATATGGAGACTGTATCTTATATGTTTGGGATGAGATAGACAAGTATTTCAAAATCAATCAAAAGTTTTTTAGTTTCCCCAAAAGACCCAACACTCAGTTGAAAATAGTGGCTGCTGAATTACCTTGGGCATATCACATGAACCGACGTGCATTATTGTATTGTGCCTTTGATTGCTCTATTGAACTGAGTAAAGTTACATTTCCTGATTCAAAAAAATGTTTCTCCTAGCTCTTAAGGTAATTTGACTTGAAAAATGGAGTTTCAAAAAGTCTTCATGATGTGTATCAAGATTTTAATGAAACCACAAACACATAAAACAAATGGTGTTGTATCTTGTCCAAAGACAAAGCAGACTTGGCTCATTTATTTGCTTTCTGTGCAAATGCTAATTTTGACAAATTCTATTTAGTCTCTAAACTTCTTACCAAAGAAAATGAAACTATCTCATCTGCTAAACACCTTATACACAGCACCTTATGCCCAAGCTAAAAGAGGGGTGTGGTTTGCTTACTTGTGAATATGGAGGTTTTCATAATGAAAGTATTTGGTCATTTCAGTTTCCTCAAAATGTGCAGAAGCATTTAATGAAGTTTTTGACTTTACAGAAATGGAAGAAGGTAGCTTCCTTAAACATGTGCCAATAAGATGGCTATCATTGCCAGGCAGAGAAAAGATGCTAAAATGTTGGCCTGTCATAAAATCATATTTTCAAAGCGTGGAACAAGAAGAATGTCCTGCTCCAATTTGGAAATATGTCGAGGACGAGAACGGTGAGGATTACAGTGAAAGAAACAAACATGCTGGTTCTCCAAAACCGTCTGATAATCCTTGAAGAGACCATAGGAGTCTAGAAAAGGATGCACCAACTGCACCTGAGTTATTCAGTGTTATACTTAGGTTGTGTACAAAAACTCCAAGAGACAAAAAAAAAAAAAAAAAAAAAAAGACTAATTTTTTGAAATAAGACTGTTTCAGAACTTTAAAAAAAAGTCCCTAGAAAAAGCCAAGCAAGTTAAACAGAACTTTCTGAATTTCTTTACTAAAACTGTAAACTTATTTGGAATCTAACCTCAATTTCACAAGTTCAAATTACCTCTGTGATTTAAAACCATTTTCCTTGGTGAAGAGAGTTCCAACTTAAGATGACGTACAATGTGCTTCAGAGTGTTTTAAAAAGAATGGGCATTTTAGATATGGAGAGCCCATACGGTTAATTTATCGATGCAAAGGACGTGACTGACAAATAGCTGGTTTACCAAAACAAGACTGTAGAAATAAAGAGGGTAGACATTTGGAGGGCTGGAAATGAATTCCCACAAGTTTAGAAACGTGCTGTGCTAGCAAATAAAATTCTAAGTTTTCTATGCTCAAACACTTTTGTGGAGAGAATATTTAGCTTGGTGTCATTTACCTCAACAGCAGCAATCAATGCAATGCAGGCAGAAGAACAGAGCTGCAAGTCAACATTAATTTTATATTTGACTATATTCAGTTTTACTGTTATGTAAAAGACAAGACAGATGTCCTAAAGGCTCCAGGAAGTTCAGAGAAGTATTAATGGAAAAGGAAACGGAAAGAGTAAAAATATCCCACTGTATCATAGGACAGAAAGAAACATATCATTGTTATTTTTTTTTTTTTTTTTTTTTTTTAAAGATTTTATTTTTTCCTTTTTCTCCCCAAAGCCCCCCGGTACATAGTTGTGTATTCTTCGTTGTGGGTTCCTCTAGTTGTGGCATGTGGGACGCCGCCTCAGCGTGGTCTGACGAGCAGTGCCATGTCCGCGCCCAGGATTCGAACCAACGAAACACTGGGCCGCCTGCAGCGGAGCGCGCGAACCTAACCACTCGGCCACGGGGCCAGCCCCTCATTGTTATTTTTTATTTAATATAGGTAATATCTGTTTAATTACTTCTATTGTATTTACATTCTCCTTTAACAAATTCTCACATTTATATATCTTAAGAATATAGAATAATATAGTCTACAAAATTTAAATATGCAATAAAGTTAAAAAAAGTTAAATTGCTGTACCAGAGACAGAAAGAAACATAAAAATATTCTGTTATAAAAATAGTCACATTTTTCTCACAGCTATTATTTGCTTAATTAATGATAATTAATAATTCTTCTATTAACTACAAGTTGCCACTTTTTTTTTTTTTTTTTTTTTTTTTTGCTGAGGAAGATTGCCCTGAGCTAACATCTGTTGCCAATCTTTCTCCTCTTGCTTGAGGGAGATTGTTCCTGAGTTAATATCAGTGCCAATTTTCCTCTATTTTCTATGTGGGACACTGCCTCAGCATGGCTTGATGAGTGGTGTGTAGGTCCGTGCCCAGGATGTGAACCTGTGAACCCCGGGCTTCTGAAGTGGAGTGCGTAAACTTAACCACTATGTCACCAGGCCGGCCCCACTTGTTCCTGCTTTTAACTAGTCCTATTGCTATTTTAAGTAACAGCATTTATGCAACAGAAAAGAAATACAACAGAATATATATGTATAATTATTATATATTATTATTTATTTTCATACCCATTGTATTGGCAAAAATAAAAAAAGTCAGACATTTCCAAATGTTAGCAAGGATGTTTAGCAAAGAGACTTATACATTGCTTGTGGAGTATAAACTGGTACAACCACTTTGTGAAATAATTCAGCAATATCTAATATATTAGTTTTCTATTGCTTTGTAACAAATTACCAGAAACCTAGCAGCTTAAAACACATTTATTATCTCACAGTTTCTGTGGGTCAGGAGTCCAGGCACAGCTTAGCTGGTTTCTCTGCTCAGGGTCTCATAAAGCTGCAATCAAGGAAAAGTCAGGCTGTCTTCTCACCTGGTCTGCTTCCAAGCTCTCTCACATTGTTGGCAGAATTCATTTCCTTGTGGTTGTAGGGCTGAGGGGCCTCCTGGCTGTCAGATGGACGCTGCACTCAGGTCCTTGAAGCCATCTGAAGTTCCCTGCCATGTGGCCCTCTCCATAGACAGTTCACAAAGTGACAGCTCGCTTCTTCAAGGCCAGCAGCAGAGTGTCTAGCTCTGGGCTGCTAAGATAGAGACAGACATTGAAATGTAGCAAAAAGAGTGACATACCATCATCTTTGCCATATTCTACTGACTCGAGGGGTAGGGATTATACAGGGCAACACCAGGGGGCAAAGATCATGGGGGCCGTCTCAGAAATCTGCCTACCACATCTAGTAAAATTAAAGATGCAATGTCCTAGGATCTAGCAGTTCCCTACACACGTGAAGATATGTACAAGGATGTTCATAGCAGCATTGTTTGTAATAGGAAAACTATCGTTCTGTAATTTTTAAATTTCTCAAAATGCAAAAAGATCTAGTCAGATATTAGCTAATAAAACACCATGTGCGGTATAATAACATTTTTGTAAAAGTAACATATATATACAGGAATTCTTCAGCAATGACCTACTGTTCCTACCACCACTGAGAACAACTGGACAAAATATAAAAAACATCAAGGCATTAGGGAGGTACCACAGCAATGAGAATTCGTGGATCCAAGATCTGGAAGAAAAGGGAAGCCATGAGAGGCGAGCCTGACGAGTGCCATCACTTTTCCACCTGAGGTGATTGGTAATTCCCAAAGTAGTGGCTGAAAAACCGAGCAGAGCTTTTGGTTGTCTCATGATGCTGAGGAGGCCGGGCCAAGGGGGAGAGGCCCCAGTAAATACCCCAGACTTTTGGTTGGGACTCTCAAGGGACACCCTAGCTAGGAGTAAGGGTAAACAGGAAATAAACTAGCTTCCACAAAGACTATACTCCGAATAAACAGAGTCCGACTCTGAATAATTTCAGTTCCTGATTGGAATAAAGTGGTCTGTTCTCAGTTTAGCTGTGGTCAGGCATACTTGCCCCTAAGTTTCTCCCTTAGCACACCTTCCCTTTTTCCAGCCGCTTTGCTCAAACTCGACTCTGATCCCAGTAAACATCCCATCAGTGGAGAATACTGATGGAGCAGAGAGAGATCCAGGACAAACAAACACTGCATAGCCTAGGATTCAGGCAGTGTGGTCCTTTCTCCCACATTTTTAAATGTTTTAATCTAACTCATCTCTTTCGACTTGCTTCCCGGCCGCTGTTTTACATCGATTTGACAGGCCATGTCACTTGTGAGACTGTCTATTCTGAGACCTCTGCGTGGCTGGCTTCAAGCTTCTTTTGAAGTCACTGCTCAATAACAATTCCCCAAAGAGAATTCCATAAAATTTAGCAGTAACAATTATTTTGCCCCAAGTTTTCGTTGGAGAGTATTTAGTGAGAGTAAAGCAAGTATTTGCGTTTCATTTAACTTCTTAGTGATGTTTGATACTCTTCATACATTATCAGGCAAAAGGGATGGGAGAGAACTAAAAAAAGGAATTCCCAGAAGCTTCCTCAAACGCGCCGCATGTGAATGCCTTAGACATGAGGCGGTGACTTTTAACACTTTCGCAACGCTCCCTCAGCCTTCATTCATTTCATCATTCATTCAGCAAACGTGGCTGAGGTACCAACCACGACAGAGGCTCGCTACAGACGGAGGTGAGCGAGCACCCGTCGGCCCTGGAAAAGCTTCGAAGACAGGTTTGTAGATATAACTTTGCAATTTAACCTAAGAAGTACCGTTTCAGTGTCACTCCACCATGATTCTCCGACCTTTGCCTTTGACTGCAAACCTCCTCGGCGAAACCTTCCCTCTGACCCCCGACTCTTCACTGAATCAGGCTAACCGCAAGGCTTCCAGAGAAACACGATTGGGAGACTACGCTTCCCGGCAGCCTCTGCAGCAGGGCGGCGGAGGGCGCGCGCAGGCGCTCGGGCCGGCCCCCGCGCGCAGGCGCCCTGCGAACGCCGGCTGAGCTGGGTCTCGCTGCTGGGTGCGCGGCGGCGGAGAGCGAGGCCTGCTGAGCACCGCTGAGGCGCGGGTCCGCTCTTCGAGGCTGCGCGCGGGAGGGCTACGGCGGGCAGGCGAGCGAGCCAGCGGCTGCCCCCAGCAGTGGCACCGGGATCGGTTGCCTTGAGTCGGGTGAGTGCGGGGGCCCCGCGACCCGGCCCCTCCCCCTCCCTCCGGCGGCTCCGGCAGTCCTCGGCGGGACCCGGGAGAGGCCCCGGGGCGAGGGCGGGCGCCGGCGGCGTTTGAGCTCGGGTACCTGGGCCGGGGCGCCTACGGCGCGTCCGTGCGTCACGGGCCCGGCTGTCCTAACGGCCGCGCGGCCCGCGGACGGGAGGGTGGGGGCGGGGAGCGCTTGTGCAAGGGCCATCGGGAGCGCCGGTGGCGGCGGGGCGGGGCGGCGGCGGGGTTGGAAGCGGCGCCGGGGACTGCGGGGCGCCGAGGCAGCGGGGCGGAGAGGCGGCGAGCGCGGAGCCTGCGCCGCGGCCCGGCGCGACCGAGCGACCGAGCGGGCGGGCGGGCGGGCGGGCGGGGGTGGGCAGCACGGAGCGCCGTGACCGGGGCCGGGCAGAGCGGGGCGGGGTAGGGGGGCGGGAGGCCTGGACGAATCCTGACCCAGGCGGGAAGGGACCACCTCGGGAATTCACAAGTTACGGCCGGAGTCGGAGCCGGTGGCTTGGGGGTGGGGTGGAGACGGACGACTGCAGTTTACAGATGTCATAACAACCCGGGCCCGAAGCGGCTGACGGGTGTGGTAATTATAGGAATGACAGAACTTCGTCTGCTCCCAGCGTGTGTAAGTGGCGATGCGAGGGAGCAGCGAAGTATTAGATGAAGCTCGAAATGGGAGGAGAAAACTGGAGGATGACTGGAGTCGGGGAAGGCGGCATGAATGTTTTAGGTTGAATGGGAGTATTTAATGTTCCACTTTTAAGTGAAAGATTTCAAAATAATTGACTTTTAAGGTTTAAATTCAGAATAAACGATTTCGAAGTGTTTTTTCTAAAACATTATTAAATAATATTACTAAGTTTTTCAATCCTTTTTTTTCTTTTAATAGACGGTTTCTTGAAAACTGCTATTTCTTAGCAGTAGATGAGTCAGTGGTTTTTTACCCCCCTCTTGTTGCTTCAAGGCTCATTCTGGACATTATTTTTCCTTAACTTGTTCTTGTATTTGTAATATTTTGAAAGTAATCCGCAAGTTAGTCCCCCTTCATTTTAGATTGAAGAAATGAAAGTGACTATGAAATCTATAATATTTTTACTGAAGTAATTTATTCTTGAAAGGCACTGTTTTATAAGTAATATGTGATTTTAAGATGGAGGACATGAGAGAAAGTAAAGGAATTCCCATTTATTGAGCTCCGTTCAAGATATTGTGCTAAATACTTTACGTATCTTAAAATATTTAATACAGTAACTCTGAAGTAGATGGTAGTTTTTTCTGTTCTACAGTTGAAAACTTTGAAGGTCAGAGAAGTTAAGTAACTTAGTAAGGTCTTCAGCCCTTGTTGGAACAAGCCTGAGCACCCAAAGTCACTGCCATTTTGAGAGTGATTTCTCCTCTCCTTTCATACCTCTTGACTCGTTTCTTTCTTTACTGCGCCCGTTCAGTGAATACTTATGGAGTGATCTTGTGCCCTGAGACTGGGGATGTGGACACTGTCAAGACACTGTTTCTGTCCTCGTGGAATTTATAGCGTAGTGGGGAAGACTGATGAATATAAACACTGACTGCATGACATTTTATCAGTCATAATTGAGCAGATATTGTAAAGTACTCTACTAAATAGCAAAGGAAGTTCAAATGGAATCAGACAGCATAAGCCTTGAGGAGTTTACAATCTAGTAGAGAAACAACGTACTTTTATAAGAACCCAGAATAAACTAAATGACAGAAATAAATGCCTCACCTGAAGTTAGTATACTGCATTATGTTAGTTTAGATCCTCATAGAAGTTTCTTCACAGAACTATGATTTAATATTATGCACCTTAACTTTTATCTAGGTTTGGTACTTAAGAAAAGGCACATGAAAAAAGTCTTCATCGCTATCCAAGACACTATTTCTTAAAGATTTATTGACCTTTATAGAGTAGAAACTTTAGAGACAGATTCTTTTTAAGACCCTAGTGATGGCCTTTTTCTTTTCTTTCTTTGCTTTTTTTTGAAAAAGAAAAACAGGGGCCGGCCCCATGGCTGAGTGGTTAAGTTCACGCGCTCCGCTTCAGTGGCCCAGGGTTTCGCTGGTTCAGATCCTGGGTGTGGACGTGGCACCGCTCATCAGGCCATGCTGAGGCGGCATCCCACATGCCACAACTAGAAGGACCCGCAACTTAAATATACAACTATGTACTGGGGGAATTTGGGGAGAAAAAGCAGGAAAAAAAAATTGGCAACAGTTGTTAGCTCAGGTGCCGATCTTTAAAAACGAAAAATGAATGACTGCTTTTATTGGATCATTTGCGTTCTGTAAGCCATCCTGTTTCTCTTTACACTTTGGCTGTCAGGAGGCTCAGAGCTGTGTCCAACTTTTGTAATTTTCCTTAGCCTCAACTATGTTATAAATTATACCAGAGTGTCTGGAATTGCTGTCACTTGTTTCCTGGACTATTTTCTTTGTTCTCTGTTGCTCTTGATTTTGGTTTTACCTTTTCCCTTTCATTTGGGAGTAGAGATTATATCTTATTTTATCTCCAGTGTTTTGGCATCGTGCTGAATTATTGATATAGTCTTGATTTATGATGTTTGTGTGTTTAAGTTTGTCAGGTTGTTTTTAGAAGTATGTTTTTAGAAGTATGTATGAATACATTGTATAAAATCAATTAAGACTTTTGGTTATGCAAATAAAGATGACTGATCTAGTGATAAAGAGAATTCCCTATTGCTGCTCTTTGTTTTGAGATCTCTGTACTTTGCAGAGTATTATGAATTCAGCCATAATGGAAGAAAACGTTGGAAACGGGTAAACAATTCAATTAGCTGATTGGGGCTGATTTCACTCTATTCTTGCTGCAGTAAGCAGGAGGTGGCCCCAGGCCAATGGGGGGTAGGGGAAAGATAGGGCCTCCATTAGAATATTTTGAGGTCCTGCAGTGAGACAGCAGGGATGAAGACTGATGGAAACGTAGTTTTGTTTGTGTGTTTTTGTTTAGGATGTTATGACCCTACAAAGCAGACCTAAGTGATAAAATGGTTTTGACCTACTATAGTAGACTAACTGGGACAGTTCTTGAAAGCAGGCAATAATCCAGAATGTGGATAATGGGGATAATCTCCTTCACATAACAAGAATAATGCTGCCCTTCATATGCAAAGATAAGTCTGCTTGCTCATCATCATTGATTTTCCAGCATGAGGAGGGATATGTGCTGAGTTGTCCATGAGTCTCTGTACTCTGACCAACAAGGCAGCTTGGGGTCAGAAGGGGGGTTTGTAGCTAGGAAACAGAAAGACAAGCAGAAGGTACTTAGATTTATTGATGGGTCAAGCACTACATCAGGTGCTTTCACTTAATTATCCTTGCAAAACCACTTTGAGGAGGTGGTTACAAGTGCGGGGTGGTTAGGTAATTTGCCCTACTTCACAGAGTATGTGGAGGAGCTGGGATTCAAACACAGGGCTGTTTGTACTATGTTCACATTATTCAAGCTTGATTTTGTCTGTTTGCAGTTCAGTCTCTCCAGCAGAACAAATGTAGTTCGTTTAGCATCATGAAATGATACTGTGAAACTAATTTACTAAAAGCTGAAAGGCTGGCTGTTGAAGTTTCTTGCTTTATTGCCATTAAAAAGTACAATTTTTAAATTAGAATAATATCTGAAAAATAACTGTCTCCTGTCCCAGCCTCTGCACTTTAGAGGCTACCATTTTCTCTCTTTTAGCTGTTTCCTCTTTCATATTTATAAATAACTTGCTTCTATTGCTGTTTCCTGATAACAGCAATTTTAGGCATTATCTATCGACTCTACATATACATACTGCCTCTCCCTTCCTCCCTTATCACACATGTTTATTAAGTCAATATTCAGTGTGTTTACAATATTATAACTGTGTAAATATTCACAGCTGAACCGTGTAGTGTAGTATGACATCATTTCTTAACCAGTTTTTGTTTTTCCAGGAGTTAATACCTTTTTCCTCCTTCATTTCCTGAGATAGCTGTCCTGGAACTTTGTTCTTTTAATGCAGTCTGGACTGGTTACTTTCTAGGCCTATTTCACAGCTGTTATCCTGGGACTTTATGTCACCCTTAAAATTCTCTTTGCCTTTCTCCTGTATTGGATGTCCTGTTTTCCATGTTTTCTTAGCTTCCTGAGAAAGGGTACCTACGAAGTGAAAACTTTCTGAGATCTTGCGTGATTAAAACAAATCTTTATTCTATCTTAACATTTCATCAGTAATTTGGCTGGGTATAAAATTGTAGGCTTAAAAAGTTTGGAAGTCACAGCTCTGTTTTTTTTTCTGCATTTCAATGTTGCGGTTGAAATCCAAACCCATTCTGATTCTTTATTTGTGTGTGACCTTCCCCATCTTTATTCCAATCCCTAGAAGCTTTTAGGATATTATTTTTAACTCCTGAAATTCCATAATGATGTGCCTAGATGTAGGTCTTTTTTCATTTAAGGGTGTTCCATGTACCCTTCCAAGCTGGAATTCATGTCCTTTAGTTCTGGGAATTTATTATTATTTTTTGGACTTCAAGTAAAAAGAGTTTTAGAGTTAATTATGCTTCTCAGTTCTTGACACACTATCATCACACCATATCTGACAAGGTCCTTTAAATTTTTCTTTTTTATTTCTGAGCCCTCCTTCCATTAGCCTTTCCAGCAGGCACTCACTCCATTGTGGTTGATAGATTCCTTGATTATATATGAATCATTGTGAACTGTGTAGTGGGGTGTGTATGTGTTTAATGTATTGTGTTATAGACCTTGTCCTGTTTCTTCCCTTTTTTCACTCAGCATTGTTTTGGAGACCTTTCTGTTTTGTTGTGTGTACATATAGTTGTATATGATGTAGAATTCCATAATGTGTATCTGCCACATTTTACTTTTCATTCCCTGATTGACACCTGGGTTGCCTTTCTGGCATCACAAATACACTGTGGTAAATATAGTCTTGCTTGTACAT